CTTTCTTATCTCTCCTTGCTATTCTTTGGAACTCTGCATTCAAATGGGTATATCTTTCCTTTTCTCCTTTGCTTATCACTTCTGTTCTTTTCACAGCTATTTGTAAGGCCTCCTCAGACAACCATTTTGCTTTTTTACATTTCTTTTTCTTCGGGATGGTCTTGATTCCTGTCTCCTGTACAATGTCACAAACCTCCATCCATAGTTCATCAGGCATTCTGTCTATCAGATCTAGTCCCTTAAATCTATTTCTCACTTCCACTGTATAGTCATAAGGGATTTGATTTAGGTCATACCTGAATGGTCTAGTGGTCTTCTCCACTCTCTTCAGTTTAAGTCTGAATTTGGCAATAAGGAGTTCATGATCTGAGGTACAGTCAGCTCCTGGTCTTGTTTTTGCTGACTGTATAGAGCTTCTCCATCTTTGGCTGCAAAGAACATAATCAATCTGATTTCAGTGTTGACCATCTGGTCATGTCCACGTGGAGAGTCTGTCTTCTCTTCTGTTGTTGGAAGAGGGTGTTTGCTGTGACCAGTGCGTTCTCTTGGCACAACTCTATCAGCCTTTGCCATGCTTCATTCTATACTCCAAGGCCAAATTTGCCTGTTACTCCAAGTACTTCTTAACTTCCTACTTTTGCATTCACCCCCAAAAGAATAAATAAACATGAATTGAATAGCTTTGGCAAAAATTCAAGTAAATGTGGAAACAGTTGAAGTCAAGCAGTAGATAAAAATTATTTTTCTGCTATCAAATGACAATTTACAAATACAACCATTACCTTCTCCAAAAGTCTCCTACCCAGCTAACACCAGGTAATTTACTCACCTGATCTGAGGATCTGCCCACCGAGGTCCAGCCAGGACAGAAACTGCAGTGTATTCCACAGGATTATAGTCACGCCACTCAACAAACCAGCCCACTTTATCATTAGGAACCTGGCTGCGTTGAACTTTTGAACCTGGATAAGGAGATGTCCGAGCCTTGTTGTGGGAATGTTTGGTACCATTAAAACCAGACATCATGTTCGAATTAACATGAAATCTGCAGGATGAAAGTGAGTTTCTGAGAGGAAAAGAAAGAAAAATGTTTTATGTCAGTACAAAATACTTAAATTAACTTAACCTAATTCACAGTCTCCAAAATACAACCTTTCAATTTCAAAGACTTAAAAATCAGAAAATCCTAATTTGATGTATACTGGAATAAAGGTCCAATATCTGTGAAACTATTTACAAACATAAAAATATTGCTAAATCTTATTAATTGAAAGTTACAGAGTTTATTTTAGCTAAGAAAAAAGGATAGAAGTTTACTTTTGTTAGCACAAATGATGGAGGAGATAATTTTATAATAAAAATTCAACCACAAAAACAAATATAAAGAAAGACTATTAAAGCCTACAGGAAGGAATCTATTTTTAAAAAAATAATAAGCTAATGGTCTAACACAGCAGTCCCCAAGTTTTTTGGCACAAGGAACTGGTCTCGTGGAAGACAATTTTTACACCGCTCAGGGTGAGGGGGCAGGGATGGATAATTCAGGCCTGGTGGTAATGGGAGTGCTGAGGTGGGGAACAGGTCAGGTGGTAATACAAGCGATGGCGAACAGCAGATGAAGCTTCACTTGCTCGTCCACTGCTCACCTGCTGTGTGACTCAGTTCCCAATAGGGCCCGGGGGTTGGGGATCTCTGGTCTAATGTACATATGTCAAAAATGAATGACAGAAATAGCACAAAAAAAGAAAAGGAAATGGAGATATACTGTTGTTAGGTTCCTACACTGTACTCAAATTAATGTAGTATTACTTGAAGCCAGACTGTGATAGATGTACAAATTATAAACTTTAGAGTAGGACTTCCTGATGATCCAGTAATTAAGAAACCATCTGTCAATGCAGGGGACATGGGTTCAATCCCTGGTCCAGGAAGATTCCATATGCCATGGGCCAACTAAGCCCATGCTCTACAACTACCAAAGCCCAAAAAAAGTCTCTGTCAGACAAATGCTGTATGATATCACTTATATGTGGAATCTAAAATATGACACAAATAAACATATCTACTAAACAGAAACAGACTCAGACTTGGAGAACAGATGTGTGGTTGCCAACGGGGAGAGGGAAGGGGAGAGGGAAGGAATGGGAGCTTGGGATTAGCAGATGCAAACTGGTATATATAACATGGATAAACAACCAGGTCCTAATGTATAGCACAGGGAACTATACTCAATATCCTGTGATAAACCATAATGGAAAAGGAATATGAAAAAATATATATGTGTGTGTATATATATATGTGTATGTGTATATACAGGCCAATAGGATAGAATAGAGAGTCCAGACATAAACCCTTACATATACAGTCAGATGATTTTCAAAAAAGGGTGTCAACTCTCAAAAGGGAAAGGACAGTCTTTCCAACAAATGGTGCTGGGAAAGTTAGATATCCACATGCAAACAGATAAGGATGGATCCATACCTTACATATAAATAAACATTAACTTGAAATGGATCAAAGACCCAAACATTAAGACCTAAAACTATAAAACTCTTAAAAGAAAACATAGAGGGAAATTTCATGACATTGAATTTGGCAATGATTTCTCAGATATGACCAAAAGCACAAGTGACAGAAGAAAATCGGTAAATCAGACTGTATCAACACTAAAACTTCTGTGTATCAAAGGACACAATCAGTGGAGTGAAAAAAGCAAATCACAAACTATACTGTAGATGACACTCAAAGGGTTAGTAACTACAATATACTGAGTTCGTATAAACTGACAAAGGCTGAACTGGAATAGGAAATTGGGCAGATTATGACCAAACAATCAAAGAAAAGCAGATCCAACTGGCTAATAAACATTAAAAGACAGTTATAATCACTAGCAATTAAAGAAATGAAAATTTAAGTAACCGTAAATTCTTTTTTCCATGTAGACTGAAAAGGTAACACCATCTCCTATACATTGCTGGTAGAGATGTGAACTGCTACAGAATTTCTATAAAGTAATTTGGCAATAAAGATGAACATACTTACATCCTGCAACTCAAGTAATTTCATTCCACTAATCTAGCCCATAAAAATGAAATAATCAATTATGCATACAAAAAGTATTTCAGTAGTGTTTAATGAGAATTAAAGGAAATGCCCAATAATGTAAGGATGGCTTCATAAATATTAGAACAGCTACACCATGGGATGACTATTAAGTAGCTATAAAAAAGAATGGCATCAAGTGACAGTATTTTCATACAATATTGTTGAAAATTAAAAGCAAGATGCAAGAAAGTGTGTATAACATGATCCCATCTTACACAGAAATGGTAGAAAAAATAAAGAACATATATTTAAGACTATGCACATAATGTATTCATTTTTTTCACTGCTGCCATAACAAATTTCCACAAATTCAGCAGCTTAAAACTACACAAATTTATTATCTTACAGTTCTCCAAGTCAGAAGTCAGACAAAAGTCTTACTGGGCTAAAACCAACATGTAGACAGGGCTGCAAGACTTGCGTGTAGCCAGCAAGGCTTTCATTCAGATTTGATAGAGAGATCAGAAGCTGATCTAACCAATTCCAGTGTAAATTTCCTTTTTACTTCTGTTTTATTATTTCCTAGCACGGTTTATTTTCTAAACAATTTTATTTTCAATCAACTTCAGAACAATTAAGGGAACCGAAGTTCTAAGAAGGAAAGTAAAAGTTACTCAGTTATGTCCAACTCTTTACGACCCCAAATTCATAGTATTACAAACCTATCTTTCGAAACAAGCTTTCTTGTTTCTCGTAAAACAAGAAAAATCTCAACCAATCAACCAACCCTTACACCTAAAGGAGCTAGAAAATGAAGAACAAACAAAACCCAAAGCTAGTAGTAGCAAAGAAATCATAAAGACCAGAACAGAAACAAAAGAAACAGAGACTAAAAAACAACAGATAAATGTAACAGAAAAGAAAGCCCAGAAATGAACCCACACTTATATGGGCAATTAACCTCCAACAGAGGAGGCAAGAATACACACTAAGGAAAGGCAGCCTTTTCAACAGATGCAAAAGAAACAAACTGGACTACTCTGTCACACCATGCACAAAAATAATTTCAAAATGAATTAAAGACTTAAATGCAAGACCTGAAGCCATAAAACCTCTAGAGGAAAATATAATCAGTACACTCTCTGACATTGGTCTTAGCAAGATTTTTTGGGGTATGTATCCTCTGGCAAGGGAAACAAAAGCAAAAATAAACAAATGGGACTGCATTAAACTAAAAAGCTTTTGTGCAGCAAAGGAAACTACCAACAAAAGAAAAAGGCTGCCTACTGAACAGGAGAATGTATTTGCAAACAATATATCTCATAAGTGGTTAATATCTAAAACATACAAAGAACTTACATAATACAGCACTAGAAAAAAACAAACAACCCAACTTAAGAAATGGGTGGAAGCTCCAAATACATATTTTTTTCAAAGAGAACACAGAGATGGCCAACAGGAACATTAAAATACACTCAACATCACTTTTCACTTTCACGCATTGGAGAAGGAAATGGCAACCCACTCCAGTGTTCCTGCCTGGAGAATCCCAGGGATGGGGAAGCCTGGTGGGCTACCATCTATGGGATCGCACACAGCCGGACACAACCGAAGCGACTTAGCAGCAGCAGCAACATCACTAATCATCACAGAAATGCAAATCAAAATCTACCTCATACCTGTCAGAATGGCTATTATAAAAAAAAACAACAAATAACAAGTGTTGGTGGGGTTGTGGTGAAAAGGGAACCCTTGTGCACTGCTAATGGGAATGCAAACTGATGTGGTTACTGTAGAAAACAGTAGAGATTCCTTTAAAAAATTAAAAATATAACTACTATATGATCCAGCAATTCTACTCCTGAATATTTGTCTAAAGAAAATAAAAACACTAATTAGAAAAGATGCATGCACCCCATATTCACAGCAGCATTATTTACGACAGCCAAGATATGGAAGTAGCCTAACTGCCCATCAATAGGTGAATGGATAAAGATATCATGCACACACACACATAATGGAATATTACTCAGCTATTTAAAAAAAAAAGAAGTAAATATTTCCATTTGTGATGACATGGTTGGACCTAGAGCATATTATGCTAAGTGAAATGTCAGGAAAAAAAAGAAAGACAAAGACTGTATGATTCTACTAATATGTGGAATCTAAAAAACAAAACAAACATTAACAAAACAGAAACACAGTCATAGATACACAGATCAAACAGGTAGTTGCCAAAAGAGAGGGTAGTAGGGGTGGAAAGAAGCAGTAAAGGGATAAGATTAAGAGGTACAAACTTCTAGGCACAAAATAAGTAAACTATGTGTATGAAATATAAGATGTGGAGAATAACTGTTATCCCTGTATGGTGACATATGGTAACTAAACTCACCCTGGAGATCACGTTAAGATGTATGGAAATATCAAATCAGTACGTTGCGTAACAGGAACTAACATAGTGTTATATAGGTCAATTACACTTCAAAAAACTAACTCATAAAGGTTGCGGAGGGGAGGGGGGAACTGGGTAAAGGTGGTCAAAAGGTACATATGACTTTCCAGTTATAAGATAAATAAGTATTAGGGATATAATGTACAACATGATATATACAATTAATACTGCTCTATATTATATATTAAGTAAATCCTAAGAGTTCTCATCACAATGAAAATTTTTTATTCTACTTCTTTCATGTTGTATCTATAGGAGATGATGGATGTTCACTAAACTTATTGTAACAATCATTTCATGATGTTTGTGTTTCAAATCATTATGATATACACATTAATCTTATACAGTGCTGAACATCAATTTTATCTCAATAAAGCTGGAGGGAAAATAAATTTTACATTACAGGTAAATAAGTTAGGTTAAAACCAAATCTATATACTAAGTCTTCAAACAAAGAATTCATCAATTTTTGTTTTTATTCTATTTTGTTTGTTGTATTTTATACATAACTGCATTATACAGCAAACTTTACTTTTATACCTTCATAGTCAAGGAGAAGACTCTTGAGAGTCCCTTGGATTGCAAGGAGATCCAACCAGTCCATCCTAAAGGAGATCACTCCTGGGTGTTCATTGGTAGGACTGATGTTGAAGCTGAAACTCTAATACTTTGGCCACCTGATGCAAAGAGCTGACTCGTTTGAAAAGACCCTGATGCTGGGAGGGATTGAGGGCAGGAGGAGAAGGGGACGACAGAGGATGAGATGGTTGGATGGTATCACCAACTCAATGGACATGGGTTTGGGTGGACTCCGGGAGTTGGTGATGGACAGGGAGGCCTGGCGTGCTGTGGTTCATGGGGTTGCAAAGAGTCGGGCACAACTGAGCGACTGAACAGAACTGAAGTCAAATCAATCAAATCAATTCTAGTAAAAGTATTAGAAGCCTTCATCAAAATTTCCCCAAGATCTCCTTTACTCCTTTGATACTCAAACCATTCTTGCTTGAAACACTATGCTTTCATTGGTTTTGTCAACACTTTTTTTTTTAAAACAAGAGCATTATGGCTTTTATTTTCCACATACCAGTCCCTCTGTGCTTTGAGGAAAGTAACAAAGGACTCTACCTGCTTTTTTAATACTTTTCTTTTTTTCAAATTTTGCAAGGCAAAATTGTGCAGAAAATAATAGAGCTCCCATATAACCTCAGCCTCCTCACCACAAACACAAAGAGCCCCAGCACCACCACCAACATGCCCCACCGAAGAGTTACATTTGAAATAAAGTGAAGACCTCAGTGGTGTCCGACTTTGCGACCCCATGGACTGGAGTCTACCAGGCTCCTTCAGCCATGGGATTTTCCAGGCAACAGTACCGGAGTGGGTTGCCATTTCCTTCTCCAGGGGATCCTCCCAACCCAGGGATCAAACCCAGCTCTCCCACATTGCAAGCAAACGCTTTACTGTCTGAGCCACCAGAGAAGTTAATACCTTTGAAATAAGGGAGCCAAAACATCCTACATGAGCAGTGGGGCAGCAACGACGGAAATCAGCCCTCTCTCCCTTCCCACTCACAAACAAAAAGTCGGCAGTACTTGTTGATCCCCAGGATAAAACCAAAATGTAAAGAAAAGGGCTAGAACCTCTATGGTGAATTAGGTATTAAAGAACACAGCAGAAACTTCGGCTTAATCTGTACAGTTCACACTGAGGAAATAAAGTTGAGGCAGCTACAGTCAGCAGAAAAATTGTTGCACACGTGTAAGGTCTGGACTAGAAGAGGAAGGGGACGTTTACAGCCTGTCCACCGGCTGCTACTTGCTCACACACCCTCAACTGAAACCTTCCAGTCCAGAAGGCTATCACTGGAGTTGGCGCGGCGGGGTGGAGATAGAAGGAAAAAAATGGAAGAAACAAATAGAAGAAAATTTCCTTGTGTCTAATGACGTGACAAAAATAGTAATTAAAAACACACACACTCCTAGAGGCAGCCTCACAACACTTGTTTATTACTCGAAGCCAGGCATGGGCATGGTACCTAGGACATGTGTTCAGAAACCAGGTGAAAGGAATAAGAGGAGACAGTATGAGATACCACAAATGCCTAAATTTATCCAAGGCAAATTTTTTAAAAAGAGGTAAATAATAAATATTTTATCTACACTGAAATGGAGAAGAGGAGGAATGACGACTTACACTTTTCATTTTACACCATTTAAACGGTTCGCTATTTAAACTCCCTGGGGACAGATAATGTTAGTGACTCACGGCAGAGGACAAATTTCAAGTATCGTAAGAAAGCATGCCACCACTTGCTTTTCTCAAAAGGCAGGTAAAATATTTTAGAGTCTTTTTTTAAAAAACGTGCGTATGGCTGTAAAAAGCTGGGACCCAACGGGAGCCTCCTGAAACCACCCGACCAGAAGCTGGTTCCCAGCTGCAACGCAAAAACTCGGGAGAAGGAGTCAGCGCTAGAAGCGGGAATACCTGCACGCCGCGACGCTGCACCCGCCCAAGTACTTGACAGTCACAGAGGCCAGGGCGACAGAGAGGGACACGGCGGCTAAAGTCTTCCCCAGGAAGCCTCCGGCCATCAGCGGCCCGCGGAAGATTCGCGGAGCGAGGTAGCTTGGGCCTCAGCCTCCGCCAGCCCCACAGCCCCGAGCCCCGGGTGTCCAGCGGGTACTCAGACCAGTCGGCCCTCCGGTTCCGGAGAGGAAGTAGCTACGTCAATCTCATTAACACACAGGGACTAGACGCCCTCCCAAAATAAAAGCCCACTTCGAATCCCCAAGTGAAGCGCAAGGTACCAGCTCCAGTTGCCGGGAAAACTGCCACCCTGGCAGTAACGCTCCGCTGCGTGACGGCACTTTACGACAGCGCCGAAAAGCGAGGAGGTGCTACATAGCGCCCGCCATCGGCTTTTCATCCTTGCGGATCCCGTGATTGTGAGGGGGGGTTGGACAAGGGTCTCGGGGTACCATCGAGAAAGCGGGAGGGAAAAGGGAAGCTGAAAGAAACCGAGAAGTTGGGAAGGAGAAGAAAAAGGAAGGAGATTAAGAGAAGTGTGCCCTCTTTTTTTTTTTTTTTTCAGGGAGGAAGGAATTACAATCCTAGTCATATCTGATTACAAGTGGTTCCAGGGGAAGGAGGTAGGCCAGAGACTTGGAATTCCCGTATCTGAGGCTTTTCAGTTCCTTTTTTACGAAGATGTTCACCTCTTGAGTAAATTTCACGAGGCTTTGCCGTGTGTGGCCTTAGCAAACCTGCGGAGGAGTAAAGCCAGCTGTGAAATAAGCACACAGCGTGGAGGAGGGACAAGGGCAACATCTGATCTGTAACTCCGGAGGCAGCGATTGGCCGAACCGGAAATTGTACATCAACATTGTCAGAACAGTTTGTAAAGCGATTTTTGTTTGACACTTGGTTTGTCATTATCTTTTTTTAGGTCTGGAATTATAAGATGCAGTAGTATACACATTTTGTAATATATTTTTAATATTTTTCAGTATAGTTTATCACAGGATGTTGACTGTAGTTCCCTATGCTATACATTAAGGCCTTGTTCTTTCTTTATTCTAAATGTGATCATTTGTATCTACCAACCCCAGACTTCCAGGAGCAAGTCTCTTCCTCTCCTATCCCTTGGATCTGCTTCTGTTTAATAGATTCATATGTGTCGTTCTTTTTAGATTCCACATATGGGTGATATTCTATGGTTAGTATCTTTCTCTTTCTGATTTCCTTCACTTAGTATGATAATCTCTAGTTACACAGCCCTAGGTTCTCGTTAGTCATCTATATACATGATAGTGTATATAGGTCAACCCCATTCTCCCAGTTCATTCCACTCCCCTCCCCTTTCCCCCTTGGTATCCATACTTTTTTTCCCCTCTACATTTGTGCCTCTATTTTTGCTTTTCAAATAAGATTATCTTTACCACTTCCCTAGATTCCACATTTATGTGTTAATATATTTGTTTTTCTGACTTACCTCTGTATGACAGCCATCCATGTCTCTGCAAATAACAGTTTCATTCCTTTTCATGGCAAAGAAGTAGCCCATTGTATATGTACCACATCTTCTTTATCCATTCTTCAGCTGATGGACATGTAGGTTGTTTCCATGTCCTGGCTGTTGTAAATAGTGCTTCTGTGAACAGTGGGATGCATGTATCTCGTTATCTTATTAAAGTGTGTGTGAGTATTTACCTTTTAAGTATGTAATCCACTGTTTCAGTGGTGGGGGTATGGACACAGACATAAAACTTTTCACCATCTCAAAAGCCAGATTTATCAAACCTTAACAACTTTTCTGAAGACCATAGACTTCTCAGTATATGAAAGCTCCATCTGAACCAATGTGCTGAGAAACTGAACCAAACTTTTGTTGATGAAAATTCAGTTAACTAGCAAGTTAAGAAGAAAACAAGAGTATTTTATTTGAGCCAAACTGATGATTTTAACTGATGATGTGAGAGTTGGACTATAAAGAAAACTGAGCACCGAAGAATTGATGCTTTTGAACTGTGGTGTTGGAGAAGACTCTTGAGAGTGACTTAGACTACAAGGAGATCCAACCAGTCCATCCTAAAGGAAATCAGTCCTGCATATTCATTGGAAGGACTGATGCTGAAGCTGAAACTACAATACTTTGGCCACCTGATTCGAAGAACTAACTTATTTGAAAAGACCCTGATGCTGGGAAAGATTGAAGGTGGGAGGAGAAGGGGACGACAGAGGATGAGATGGTTGGATGGCATCACCAAATCAATGGACATGAGTTTGAGTAAACTCTGGGAGTTGGTGATGGACAGGGAAGCCTGGTGTGCTGCAGTCCATGGGGTCGCAAAGAGTCGGACACGACTGAGCAACTGAACTGATGATTTTAATGCAGGAAGAAGATTCTCAGAAAGCTCTGAGAACCATTCTGCCTGTTAGAAGTTGAAGGCACAGTCAAAAAACTTTTTGAGACAAAGGATCATCCGTCAAAATGACTAATATATAAATTTTACCAAGATATATACTCCAGGTAAGCACATGTCAAGATAGACTTAAGTTACTATGACCCCCTACAGCGCAGGGAAAGAACATTCTTCTTTTAAGAAGTTACATCGCTAGGGTCAAAATAAAGGAAAAAAATTGATCTTTATGGTTGAGAACTTTGTAAATTCTCAAACTGATCTTTGACAAGTTCTGGTTAATGTGTAATACAAACTGCACATGAGGAAGGGAGGAGCCCCAATTCTCAGAGAATTTGTTTAATTTTTTCTTGTCCTGCCTTAAAATATAAATTGTATTTCATTACTCTATTATGACTTCTAGAAGCTTAAGGTCTTGTCCATAGAGTGATCCCAGCATCAACCCCCACCCGCACCCTCCCCTTCAACCCCTTTGGTTCCAGGCAAAACCTGGATAGGCAGTCAGACCCCAGACCCCTCTCTTGGGCAGTTTAGAAAGCTTGCAATTAGAAATCTTTCCTCTGCCTTGGTGGTATAAATCTACCACCCAGAACTTTTCTTTAGTACTACTTCTTCTCCTCTGACAAATATCTGTTAAACCAGATGGCCTAGTCACGTGGATCACCCACCCACCTCTCTACCACCCCTTAGCACACTCCAGCCCTTGAATAGTCTCCAGCCTTCTGTTTCAGGGAAATAGAGTTCAGTTCATACTGCAGTATTGAAACAAAGCAAGACCCTATGGTCCTTGTCCCCCACATCCTCTGCCTGCCTTTTGTCTGTAAAAGGACTTTAGCCAAAGAATATGTTTGCTCAGAGAAGTGAGAACATGCAGAAACAAAGGAAAATAGTCAAAGGGACCAAAGAATAATAGTTTGACAATTAAGTACAGTCGAGGACATTTAGCTCCTTCTCAAGGGCTATAGATGATATTCTGAGCCATATCCTGTGAGCTGTCTTATAGATACTGAACACTCCACAAGATGGAGAAGTTAGCACATGATGAACAGATTGTAAGTGTGACATAAGCTGCCACAATTCTGAGAACTGGCCTCAAGAAGTGGAAACAAACCAACCCTAGAACTGAAAATTAACTGTACTTAAAACAGTCAAGATGATGCTAGTTGAATCCCCAATGACCAATTTCCAGATGACTGTCGGAGCTGACTGTGCTGTTTCTGCAGGCAGCCCCTCCCTCAGCCTGGAAAAGCTCTAGCCCCCTGATTGCCCACGGGATGCTGCAGGGGGCAGCCTTTGGACAGGCATTGGCCACACCCACTGCCTCCCCATCCCCTTGCCAGCATCCAAAGTAAAACACAATTGCCTTTCCACCAACCTGGCCTTGTTATTGGCTTTTGGTGGCACACCCCAGAACCCCACTTTTGGTTACAGTGTTACTAAACAAAATTTGTCTTTACCACTTTAGTGTTCGGATTTGATTATCTTTAACAATTTATCCAGGTAGCAAAGTACTATTGTTAAAATATACTTAAAACTTCAAAAAAAAATAAATATATGGACTTGGCTTCCTGAAGTCAGATAAACTTTGTTGTCAAAGTTGTTGACAGCCACTAACCTGCTTAAACTTAAAAAACAAAATTCAACTGAGTGAATTTGAAGATCTAATTGGCTCTGTTGAATGATTCATGAATCAGGCAGTATCCCATCTAACAAACAGAAAGGAACTCTAAGGAACTGTACAAATGGAAGGTTTTTAAAAGCAGGAAAGAAGAGTTCCCTGGTGGTCCAGTAGTTAGAACACTCTGCTTCTACTGCAGAGGGCCTGGGTCCAATACCTAGTCAGGGAACTAAGATCCCCCATGCCTCACAATGCAGCCAGAAATTTTAAAAAGGCAGGAAGGAGTGGGACAAGAAAGTCAAAATGAGAAAAAATATAAAAGTGGGGGGGGGGATTATTCTTTCAGGCAAGATCACCTTTCTTTGGGAAAAGGGTTGGGGTTTATGATGGGTATCACCTCATTGGTGCTGGTCAGGAAATTCCGGGCTGATTGGTTTTTAAAAATTACATTTCAAAGAGATGCTGAAACCACAATTGGGTATGAAGTTTTAGTTTGCTTCTGTGGGGCTTAGCATGAAGTGAACAGTGTTAGTTGCTCAGTCGTGTCCAACTTTTTGACCCCTTGGACTATCGCCTGCCAAGCTCATCTGTCCATGGGATTCTCCAGGCAGGGGACTTAGCATAAGTGACTTCAGTGTGGACCTGTTGTCCCTTTTTCAACACTGAAAAGATACTAGGCAGGCTCTGTTTTTAAAAAAAAAAAAAAAGGCTCTGCTTATCAACCAAATTATCAAATAGTTCAGCCAACTTATTAGTCATTAGGGAGAAGAGGAATAAGGCAGTGTGAGTCACAAAACCTCTGACCAAAGAACAGAAAATCTGAAAGGTGTTCTCATAGAAGTTCCTCAAGTCCTAGTCTCCAAACACTACATTCCTTGAGGGGAAGTTGGAGTGGACTCAGTTTAAGAAACTACACAACCACTCAGACAAAACCAACTCCCACGCAGACAAAACCAACTTCCTGGCACTGGACCTGCACCACAGTTGGCTCCAACAGCCAGGTCTCCTTCAGGTCTCCATCTCTCTTCAGAGATGTCTACTCCCAGGTCTGCACACACTTAAGGGCATCTTATAATAGTTGGTGAAACAGACAAAAGACTCTGACAAATAAATACTTTTCAGTAGGGAAGCAGTGTAGGTGATTACTAGAATTGATAGATATGCTAAAAGAATTCAAACTGTTTTCCCCTTTTCCATTTATTTTGTATACAACAGATATTAACTGTTCACTTAACCATTCACCAGCAACTGCTTCCCAGGTGGCGCTAGTGGCAAAGAAAACTCGCC